ATATATACATACATACATACATACATACATATATATATATATGTATATATATATTTATTTCCAATGATGACAGAGACATGTAGATGTCACTGATTGTTCTCATAACACAACCCGAGACGAAATATTCATTTTTATTAAATAAGTTATCTGTACTGCTGATAATCTGTTAGGAGACCGTACCGGAGGGCGGGCCCATAGTCTGCAACCGCCGGCGGAAGTCTTCCACTTCTTTGTCAACAGCCGCTCGCAATTCCGGCGATACATCTAAGTTTTCCTCGTCGCTCTCCGCCCACTCCACCTGATGTTATTTATGGAAGTTGATGTTGGATCGATATTGGGGTTAAGGGGCTGGATTGCATATACATATACCTAGCAAACTGGACGTCAAAGGTACACCGCAGGATTGCTAGTTGTGGGAATTGCTAAAGAGACCGCAGATGAATGATAGCTCCCGCGCATGCTATTTAAAAGTGCGGGTTCGTATGCCGCCCTACTACTCTCTAAATAAATATTATTTGCCATGTGAAGTACACTGAAGTATCGCAGAAATGTGGTGCATCATCTTACGACAGATATTCACTTGTCACTACATAAAACGTGTATTGAGGAAGTTAAAAAAGCCAACGATAGACTGCATCGGACTAGTATGCAAACAAAGAATACCTAACATCATTCACTATCGAGCGGTGCCCACATTAAGCGGAATTAGTTTTCCAGTAGTGAAATGTGAGCAATATGCGATCTACAGCTAAGTAATCGGCATGCAAGTGAGTTTGCACATACACACAATGTACAATGCAGCCATATCAGGCGATGTCTGAATAAGCGGAACGCGCTATACACGCACCTCATCGGCAGACAATTGAGCAGTCTTATATTTCGCAGCTTGGTGTTCCCGAGCTCTATCTGACAACTCTTTGGTCACATCCGGCGGCAACTGTAATTGCTGTGGTTTTGACTGCACGGCATATGCGTTTTTTTCCGTCTCCGAGTCCGACCTCGTTTGGACGTGTGAATGCGAAATTGTTGCAGTGGGCGTGGTTGTTCGCTTAGTCGGTTTTAAGAGCGCGTGCGTAACGGGACTGATCTTAGACCCGACGCCCAGAGTCCTGTGATCATCCGGGGATGTGGTTCGTTGTTGTGTTGGCGTTGACGTCCTGTTTGTGGCCTTCCCTTGTGTCTGCGGTGATCTAGATGTGGTCTTGTGATTATGTGTCTGTGCTGGAGTTGGTGCCTGTGTCCTCGCTAACTTATGTATCTGTGATGGTTCTTGTGCGTGCGAATCCGTTGATATTCGGTCGTTTCCATTCACCACCTGTGTTTGCGACCCACTCCCCCTATCCACTTCCGTGTCCGGACACTTTTTACGCTCCCGCTGTATTTGAAACTCCCGCTTTTGCATCAACTCTCTCCTCTCCTTCTTTAATTCGAATATTTTTCGGGTTTGTTCTCTACTCCTCTGTTCTAGCACCTCCTTTTCCTTGCGCTGCTTAGACAATTGAGATTCATATTCTCGCCTCTGTCTTTCCTCCTTTTGTAGTTTGAGCTTTTCCTGCTCCCGCTTCTTCTTCCGTTTTAATCGTTTGGCTTCGCTTGCACCCTTAGTGTTTGATTTGTCATCGGCGTCTGCGCCGTCAATATATTTGAGTATTTCGTCCACAGTCCTCGGGTCTTCTTCTGTGACTGCGGAAAAGCATACAAGTGTCTGTCGGATAAAAATTGCGAATACACAGCCAACAATTTTCCAATATAAAGCGCGACGTACGCCTTAAGGGTTTTAAACCCATAGTGCGTACCATCGGTTCGGTTACGATGCTTTACAGACCATACATAAGTTCACACTTAGGGAAGCAAGCGAAATTGCAACTATATACGCGATCTTTCGAACTTGAACTTGTTAAGCCAATAGTGCAGAACTAGAGATGTGATACTGTAAAACAAATAGACTGACAAGTACATATTTGTGCATGGTTTAACCTTGCACCATGGCGCACACTGGAACGAATGACAGTGATAGATTTCGATACAAGCTAACACAAAGTACATTCGCAGCAACTATAGCACGTGAACAGCCCTAGAGAAAGTTCTTGAAGATGAAAACCAATATCTCAAACACCCATGTCTTGCTGAAGTGTGTATTTGGGATGATTTCCGTACCTCGATCTGTGGCTTGTGTGTCACCATTCTCCGGCGTTCGTTTCTGTGAGGCCAGCTTCCGCTGTAGCCGTAATCTCGTACTGACACTCGACACATCGAAGTCCAACCCGTCCCCATCCACACTTAGATCCGCAAACGTTTCTCTTAATTCCTCTGTGCTTTTCCCACTGATTTTCGATGCTATGATACGCGATGTAAGGTTGACAAGTGGCTTTATATCCAAATAGTAGGCCGCAGACGCGAGCTCGCACAAGAGACCTTGCTCTAGACTCATGGCCTCATTCTCCCAGTCTCGTGGGATGGCTGCGTTGCAATCCGGGTGATGGTCGTGGCAGTCTTCTGTTATTCCGGAATCGATGGACACCTGGGCGAGAGAGGACATGGTTCGTCATTGCAAACGTATGTAGTGTTCAAAAGGGATGGCACACGAGAAAGTAGAGCATACAAAAAGATACAAGTGTAGTTGATTGGAATGAATTAGGCGCTCGACGTCTTTCCGTGTCCGTGGTTACAGATACGATACAGTATGATTTTCAGTTACCAACGATATAGCCTACCCACAAATCAGTTTTTGGCTCCGTAGGACAAGTACAAACGTGCGACAGATCGTTTAGCGGATGTATCCCTATAGAGGAAACGTATACGTATAGATCATCCCATACATACCTACGCATACGCATGTCTGTAACACGTTTAGTGTGAACAAACAAGTTGGTCAAGAAAACAGAATAAACGAAATTTAAAATCTCGTATACTACAAATTAATACTGTTTGGGTGCATAGTTTTGGCTTCAAAAGTAGAACTTGAATACTGCGAAACCGGACAAAAAAGTTGTGTACGATACTTATTCGTACGTAGACTAATATCTTACCGTTTAGATGGTTTTACAAGTGGTATGATAAGATCTGTGTACTATATATGTATATATATATATATATATATATATATATATATATAGTATATAATAATATAATAATAA